CCTAAGCTTTCCAGGGAGAGCTTGATAAAAAGTCTGGAGGCCAGGAACCACGCAGACAACAAGCAGACATCTGTGGGCTGCTTTTTTTTTACTTCACTTACACTTCTCTCATCAGTTCGGTATGCTGCTTTTAAGAGCTACATCCCACTGTGCCTTACTAATGATACTGCTATTAAAGGGAAAACATTTAAAATCTACTCTACAATTTATAAGCATACATTTGTTTTTCTTAAGGTACAGAGGTCACATTCACAATAACTGCCGTGGGGATCCTTGTGCTTTTCACCGAACTCCAGGCGTTAAATTCTTACTGTATTCTTATTAAATGCTTGAACTTCAGACGTTTCTTTTTTTTCCTCTGAGCTGTGAGGCACCTTTAATCAACTGTATTCATTGTTGCTGAATGGGACCTGCAAGCTTCGACCAAAGAGATGTTAGAAAAGGCAACACTGTCCCCATCTGGTGTCTAAGGGAAACATCCAGCCATGTAGGGAGGATAGAAGCTCTGCAGGTCCACTGTCTGACAGGCTCTAATGTTTCCTTCCTTCAGGTCCCAGGAGTTATCTCACCTCCACCATGACTGATCGCTTCGACTGCTACTACTGCCGCGACAACCTGCATGGGAAGAAGTATGTGAAGAAGGAAGAGAAGCACGTGTGCACCAAGTGCTTCGATAAGCTCTGCGCCAACACCTGTGCAGAGTGCAAACGCCCCATTGGTGCCGACTCCAAGGTGAGAACGCAGTGTTAGTGTGTCAAAAGGCGGAGCTAGGGTAACAACCCAAGCTTAGTGTAAAATGCTGTCAAATTTAACATGTTAATTTTAAAAACAACATGTTTATTTAATGATCTGATATGGCCACATTTCAGACTAAGTGATAGGGTTAATAAAAAAGAATACTGATTGAAGACTAAAAAAAAAAAAGATATTTGGACAAATGTTTTGTTGATTTCTAATGCTGATATTTCTATTCTTCCACAATAATGTTGTGTTTCTAAGTTAAAATGTCTTCATTTGGGGGCTTTTCCAAACAAATATTAATATGTAATTGTTTGTGATTAAAGCAGCATATATTTCTGCCACCCCTTAAAGTCTCCATGCCATCCTCTGGCCACCCCATGAAGGTTTCTCTAGATCCACCCCTGAGTGTGTGAGCAAAAGAATTTTACTCATTTCATCAGAATTTCATTTTTTATTTGTTCATTTAGTTAAAGGTAACAGGAGAATTAACCCATAAAGGAACACTTGACACAAAAATTCTAAATCACCAGATTTGGAGATACATGGTTTTCATTGGACAGCACTGTCATGTCAAAAAAACAATTAACCTGACCTTTTTTTAGAAATCATGATAAAAGTAGCTCAATTTTTCTTTTTTGTTGTTGTTGTTTCTTTGGATTTCTAAGGACAAAATTAGATCAAATACTTTGAAGTCACATTAAACGTACATACATCTATGTGTGTGCGTGTGTGTGTGTGTGTGTGTTTGCTCCAGTCATCTCTTATCTGTTCAGAAAACTCTCAGTCTCAAGCTGTTATACAACTTGTCTGTCATCCAGCAGAGGCCTCTGCTCCAAAAATACTCTCACCACTCAGTCACAGTCAGTTAAATGTGTGAAAAAGATGTGTCGTTACTACAATTCGGGCTTAAATACTTTATATCGCATTTCTGCCATCTAAGTCCCCCCTAACTCCTTCATGGCTCACCACATCCCAGTTCACTTCATCTCCACTTTAATGCCTGCCACATGGGCTTGTTCTGTATTCTGGCCCCGAGCCTCAGTCCACATGATGAGTAAACAAACTCCACTTTAATGAGGTCTGCATGAGGAGATTAGTGAGGGCACCTCTGCTCATCCAGCGCCGCCTCTCTGTGTTCAGGAGCTGCACCATAAGAACCGTTACTGGCATGAGGACTGTTTCCGCTGTGCCAAGTGCTACAAGCCACTGGCTGCTGAGCCGTTCAGCGCCCGGGATGATGGCAAGATAATGTGTGGCAAGTGTGGCTCCCGGGAGGATGGCAACCGCTGCCAGGGCTGCTACAAGGTGGTCATGCCAGGTGGGTTTGCTATTATAGTGAGAATCTCCATTGGTTTCCTACTATAAGCGATATGGTACTACATGAACACACAATTCTCTGCCAAAGTTAGAACAATTTTTTTATTTTTATTATTTGAGACATTTCTATATTTGTGTTTTTATCTGTGCTCTTCCTCGTGGTCTGAAGTGGCTGGGGCTCGTCTGGAAAAATCTGATGACACATATTTCAAGATTTAGCATTGCATTTGAGGGCTTTTTTTGCTTATGTTGCCAAACACTGTCATTTAAATCTGATCAAAACACACCCATACAGCCCTGATGAAGCAGATTAGAGTTTTAGATTTTTTTTAAATAATACGTAATAGTGTTTTATAAAGCTTAAAGTTACAATCCTTAAGCTTTCATTCCTGGTTGATCCCAGTTTTATGAACTTGGTGTCTGTGGCGACATTCCTTGAAACAATTTGTATTAAAGGACCATTGTATCGGATTTAGTGGCATCTCGCAGTATAATTGTAGATTGCAACGCCTCTGCTTCACCCTCTCCTACAAAGCACAAAGGAGGATTTTAAATTCTTGTGGAGATACCAACGTTTCCAAAGATACCAAACATATTGAATTCTATTTTGTAACAAAAATATACGCAAAACAAACACGGAATATTTCTATTTGATGAAAAGGTGCAACCACTAAAAACACTGGATCTTGGTTTTTAATACTCAGTATGAAAATCATAAAGCGGTGGAACAAGCTGTTACTAAACACATGATAATTTCAGACAGTGTTAAATAAAATGATTTTAAAACTCTTATTTACGGGGGAAACATTTCCATGAATTTTCCACCCAAATGGTTGGTTTTATTTCATGTTTCTGTTTCAGGATCCCAGAACGTGGAGTACAAGAACAAGGTGTGGCATGAGGAATGCTTCACCTGCTTTGAATGCAAGCAGCCAATCCGCACACAGAGCTTCCTGACCAAAGGTGATGACATCTACTGCGCTCCCTGCCATGACAAGAAGTTTGCCAAGAAATGCTTCCACTGCAAGCAGGTACAAGCACTGATGGTATCGCTGTGTATGTTCTGTGGTTGTACTTTAGCTGTTTGCCAGTCTGGAAGAGCTGATGTATCACCTACAGTATAGTGTCATACTGGTACAAGCAGTACAGCAGAGTGAATGATATTTAGGGCCTGTAGTGTTTAGGATCATAATCAAAGTGTTTCTTTGCACCTCTAAGCCCATCACCTCTGGAGGGATCAGCTACCAGGACCAGCCCTGGCACTCTGAGTGTTTCAAGTGCCACACCTGCCATAAACCTCTGGCGGGAGCTCGCTTCACTTCCCATGAGAACAATGTTTACTGCGTGGACTGCTTCAAGACTGATGTGGCCAAGAAGTGCCATGGCTGCAAGAACCCAATCACAGGTCAGAGCAGCGTAAACAAATGTTCTTGTTTGAACGATTTCTGTTGCAAACACATACCAGGACTGTCTTGAATGTACACAGAGTGCATGGTGTGATTAATAGGAATTAACAGTTTTGTAGTTTCCGTTCTTCTTCTGGATGTTTCCTGCACAATTGTAATGGCCTTAAACAGATGACTCAATAGACCATAATGCAGTGCAGCCATAAGATATATTTTGGAGGATGAGCTGCAACTACCACAGGTGATATATCATCAAACAGTTTTCGTGTCCCACGGCAGAAAAAGTAAATCTTTTAGTAAGACTTTATTTGAATAACTTCCCCAGTTTAGAATAATTTCCAAATAATTCCAATACATTTCGAAATGAGCTTTTTTTTAGGCTGCTGAACATGCACAAATGTGAAATTTGTCTTCAGGCAAGCATACAATTTAACATACAGAAACAGGACGTTTGCAATAATAAATGACTAATAGATGGATTCTCATTTAGGATTAAACTGAGCTTCTCTTTCTACACACAATGGAAATCACTTCCTTGTTTAAATAGGCCAATAAAGTCTTAAATAATGGCCTTAATGTCAGGTTTTATATCTGCATATTTTTCTAATTTATGACCCATCTATGCTTAATGTTCAGACAAATGAGAGAAAAGTTTTAAAGAGGTTTTTCATCTGTTATCTAAAAGAACCATTACCTGTCTTGCACTGCTGACTGACCGATGTCCTGTCTCCCCAGGGTTCGGCCATGGCACCAATGTGGTGAACTACGAGGGATACTCCTGGCACGAGTATTGCTTCAACTGCAAGAAGTGCTCCCTCTCGCTGGCCAACAAGCGCTTTGTCATCAATGGAGAGCACATCTACTGCCCTGACTGTGCTAAGAAGCTGTGAACTGCACATTCAGCTGTGCAGAAGATCACAGTTTAAAGGGGTATTACACCAAAATTTATTTTTCTCATAAAATTCGAGTTTTTGGAGTGTGAGATAATAACAGAATATGGTTGAATTGGTATATAATGTGAAGACGGTCGATTTTGGTGAAACATCTCTTTATGCATTTGACAGACTCAAGTTATTTCAACTAAATACGCACTAGCTTGAATCATTTATCTACATATACATTATTGCAACTTGTTTCTTGCATTGGATACTAACATGGCGATTTTCTTTTGTGGGATTGTGATATGCACTATTAGTCTAATCTAATCCATGATTCTGTGTAGCTTTAAGATAAAAAAGCCTTTTCAGTGCCTTACTGGAATCTTTCAGAGAGAATATGCTTTTTACATGCATACTGCTGCTCATACATACCAGCTTTGATTAATAATCTGATGGTCTGAATGGATTATGAGAATTTTCAAAACATGTTTAGCGAGTGAATTTTAAATTCAAATTAGGCCTTTGAGATTGATGCTGAAATATAAACTGCTCATGTATTCAAGACTTGAAGTTGAATGTAAAACAAGAATAAAAAGGAGGACGTGATCTGAAGTCTCGTATATTTCTTTACAGCAAGAAAACAGCACGGAGGAGGGAGTATTTTTGCAAGACTTTATTGTTTTAACAGTTTGTATCATCTCAGTACACTTTAGATATATTTACAGTACAAATTTTATTTGTGGACAGGGCGTTGTTAGGTTTGTAAATCTTCCAGAGAAATATTCATATTCACAAAGTTGCCCTGGTTGGGTAGACTGATTGTCGAGGCCGAGGTAAGGACAAGCTTTCTTAGTTAATTGTGATACAATAAAAATACTAAATCTCAATCTAAGGCACCGTTCTATCCTATTGTTATAGACGTTGAGGATTAAGCAGTCGGCTCAAGCCTTCAAAGATGCAGCAGGACCTGGAATAGATACAGTATCTGTTTAAGCAGCAACTACAACAGCCCCCCAACAGGTACTAACGTTACTCATAAGTGGAGAGAGGAGCAGGAAAGGTTTGGGGGGAGTTTGGGTATAGGTGAGTTTTGGGCTATGAATGAGACTTCTAAAACATCTGTGAAGGAAGAGACCACAGACAAATGACTTTTTCTTTTCTTCCTGAATTTCACACAACTCTCCTACGAGTCTGTACAGTAAAGCTACTCCTTAGCAACCATGCTTTAAACATAGCGAGTAATTTGTGACAGTGCGAAGAGTCTCATGTTTTCTAAGATGAATAATGTATGAATGCTAAAAGTGGGCAGCTCTGAGACATGGTAAATAATGAAGGACGGTTTCTGGAGTCTGTTACATTCTTTGAGCTTATTAATCAAAGCTAACATCTAAAGCCCCAAGTCTTTATGTACAAAGAGAATTTAGTTTTCAAGAGGTTGTGAAAGCCAGCAGACAACAAGGCAAAAATCAAGGTCCCCAAACCTTGTGCTTAGATTATTCAAGCATAGGGAATTTCAAGATTTTAATACAATTCATGAGAGATCCAGGAAGCAATACGGAAAACAAGTCCGACCCATGTCTTATTTAGTTTGGTGCCTCATACTACAAAGTAGTAAACAGTTGCGACCTGAGCTGATATGCCTACCATAATTATCCAATACCCCCACATCCTTTGACATAATATAAAACATATTTTGATGACATTAAAAGCATCATAAAGAGGCACAGCCATGACTTTTATCATGGGTCAGACATGTTGGTAAGGGCTGTAACAACTCCGCTCACTACCACAATGTCAACATGTTAAGTCTCTGTGAGGCAATATTCAGAATTACGGCTAGGGGTTATGGGGCTGAAAGCTCTCAAACATACATACAAATAAACACACTGTATCTTTAGACACATATAGTGGGTCCCCACTTGGCCCCTTGTTTTTCAGAGCTTTTGTGGAAGAGGAATTTATATAAATTTTGGGTTTCCAGGCTGCCCAAACGTAACCTGACTACCCTGTCACAGGGCACGAGTCGAACAGAAACCTAACTTACAGCACAGTCACGTACACAGAGACTTCAATTATCCACATCCTCACGCCACTCCATCCTAAACATGGCTTCATTTGCCTAATACTGATTATATACACAATACAATAACACTTAAATATATGTAGAAATGTATTTTCATATATAAACAAACAGCCAAATTTTATATTATAAAAAATAGTTGAAATGTATTTTGTCAGGTGTAGCAGCTAGTGTGTTTGGAATCTTCAAAGAAGGTTAGTGGGAAATAAGTGTAATTAATAAAAGAACCACAGACAGAAGGATGGATGGAAAAGTGTGCATGGATGTGATGGTAAAGCTCTAGTTAAAACCAGATAATTGAAAACCTGATTTTTAGTTTCAGCAAAGTTGAACTCTGGATATCGAACATTCAAGTTCAGTTTGGTAACGAACACAAACTGTCTTAAGAGAATCAGAAACAGCTATGAACGAAACTAACGGACTTCATCTGTGTATTAACTGAGTAGCAGTATGTTACATCTATGGTTATTCAAACACTGGTGTTGTACAGATGCAGTCGGTGTAAGATGAGACTAAAACTGGATGAAACTCACTCAGATTCTGATGTAAATTACAATGGTGTTCTTAGTAAACATAAAGTCTATATACATATGTAAAAAATAACAAAACCTTTAATGGACCATGTGCCCTAAATTAACAAACTGCTGAAACTTGACTGAACATATGAATTAACTACAGTGTTGTCATGAACCTCAACACTCATCAGCTTCAAATGTAACAGTTGGAGTGGTGCTCCTGAAGCCCTCTAGTGGCCACAGAAGGAAACACACAGTGAGTGAAACTGGGAGAGAGGTGTAGGGGTGTGTGTGTGTGTGTGTGTGTGTGTGTGTGTGTGTGTGTGTGTGTGTGTGTGTGTGTGTGTGTGGGGGGGGGTTTGAAAGTGTAAGCACATGACGGACGATTGCTAAACTGTGCGTGTGTGAGCTTCAACACAAGCAATTTAATATATTCACACTTAAAACTTCAAAGTTGGGAAAAACTGGTAAGGCCATATTTGCTGGATGCTGCGAAAAGCAGCCAGTCAAGTAAATTTAGATGAATCACATGCAAAGCCTGGGATGCTGTCCCAACCCAACCCCCGACACAACAGAATGTATTATCGTTCCTTCCTTTAACTCACGGTATTAACCTCATATTCAAATTACACAGCCTAATGTGCATGTGTCCTGGAATATTCTCATACGAGACAAAAAAAGACTAAACATATGATAACAATAATTACAATAACAAAGAAGCCAAAATCAATAAATTACAACAACGCACCCCTGACGAAGACAAAACTCTTAAAAAACATCATCAAATTCAGACACAACATAGAAAAAAAAAACAACTGGAGAACTAGACACAAGAGGAAGAGGAAAGAGACCTGAAGCGAGCATGTCGAAGGAATATACGGAATTTCCCTGAAGCATAACGTTTTTCTTTATATATATAATTTTAATATATTTCTTTCCTCATCATTTCGGGTGCAATTGTAGCACTTAGGTTGGTCTTTCCGCTTCGCCTTGTGCTCCTCTCTTCTGGAAGAGGAAGAGGAGAAAAAAGAGGAAGCTGTTGGGAACTGGTCGAAGACTTTTTCTTTTACAGAGCTCAGTGGGACAGGAACTTTTATGAGTGCAACAGTAAGAGGCTTCTCAGCGACGGCTGCAGCATCAAATCTCTACAGAGACAAAGGAAGAAGAGAGTTATCGGTCTCTGAGAAGATAATGTCAGAAAGCGTTTGTTCCAAAAAGGTGAATCTGTAACGGACTCCTCACCTGACAGGGCTTCTATGGGTTGATTAGTGGAATGCAGGGTGTTTACGGGGGTTCCCTTGTCCTCGAAGGCTACCCTGGGCCCATCTGAGCTTCCATCACAGTTAATCAAGACCTGGTTACAGTCCTCTGCCTCGATGAGGGGCCGAGTCTTGGAGTGAACGTTGAGGTCAATGAGTTCCTCAAAGCTCCACTGGTTGGATTTACCGTTTAGACCTGAGACCAACCCCACCTTGGCCGAGTCCTGCTCATTCAGGAACTCTGAGCCCTCTACGAGGCGGCCCTTAGGGACTGGACTGGAGGAAGGAAAGAGGTAGTGGGAGGTGAGATTAGGGAAGTGATAAGGGGGGTGACGAGACTAATTTCTCACAGCACAACACAACTTTGTCCCAGAGTGAGAGACTGCAAAGTGACAGAACGAGATCCAGACCAACACAGAATGAGGTTGGTGTTATTCTATACATTTCAACAAGGCCAAAACCAACATTGTGTTAGTCCATCTCTCAATGCTTTCAGACTTTCCTACCCACTCTGTAGCACTCAGCCCCAAACCAAATATTTCCTACTGAAGAAAAATAATCCTTAAAATGAGTCACAAATATTGGAATATAGTTTCATTTCTTGAAAAGTGATTTCTAAAAATAGAACCGATACCGATATAAAATGTTTGGCGCCGATACTGATCAGTGACATCAAATCGGAACATTGCTAGTTTCATTACCTTCTATCCAAGTCATACCTGACTGCCTGAGTCTCATCTGTGCTTATGCCATTGTTATTCTCCTTGTTGTCTGTCTCTTGTTTTCCATTCACGCTACCCAGAGGCTCCTCTCGTTGTTCCACCGGCTCTCCAGAGGAGAGACCGCACTCATCTGTGTCGCCCTCCATGGTCATATCATCCATCTGGCCTACAATATCAATAGAGAAACATTGGATGAGACAAGTCACAAGTTACCACCAATTGTTATTAATGAGAGTATTTCAGAAATCATAGACTTTTCTCAGCATTAATCTCTCATGTTTTTTGTTTGTTCATGATTTTTCTCTCTATATATTTAAGTTTTATTTTGTATTGTTTTTCCTTTTTCTTATAGTATCCGCACATGTATTGAAATAAACATGAGAGAGAGACAAGTCATAGGTTACATCAAGAGTTATGTAAATTCACACAAACAAACCATTTATGTAAAGCATATGCAAACAAACACAAAGAGGGGAAGACGCAGTGATGCATAAATCTTCATACACTCTGATATCCTGAACCTGCACATCAGTGTGAAAGCTAAAAGATGACAAGTTTCACCTTCAGAGGTCATCTGGTCCTCTCCCTCCTCTTCATTCTCCTGTGAGCATTTATCATCATCGCCTCCATCTCTCTACGCAGGAGACACAAACAATATGTTAGCATGCCACAGACACTCTTAGAAATATGCGCTGAATGGATGTGAGCTCACCTTCATGTCACCTTGGTCTCCTTTTCTTGTTCTCTTCATTATCTCTTCAATTCTCTGAAATGGAAAAACAACATATTTTTGTACCCAATTTGTTTAGAATTGGGATCTACACAATGAGGAAACATTATGAAAAAATATTGGACATCAGAATAAATTATTTAAAATATGTTGCCATGTTGGACTGAAAGAAGAGATTTTAATCTGAAAAGACCAATAAATAAATGTCACTAAAATATAAAAAGTAGTGTAGGAAATTAATAACATATGGTGATTAATATATCAGATTATTTCATAATTATTGTGTCTGTTTGTGACTGACTTTTGATGTAGTACTGCTGGTCATACAAAACCTCAAGTTCTTTACAAACACTATTTGATATAATTATTGATGGTAAAGCAAGACCAAAATAAAAGAGAAAGGTCTCCTTTATTCTACCTTCTTTCTCTCCATTCGTTCTTGCTGGTTCTGCTGCATGATACGGTCTCTCTCCTGACGGACTCTCTCTGCTTCCTCCAGGGCCTTGGCCTCAGCTTCCTCCCGTTCCTTCTGGAGCTCGGCCTGTTTCACCGCTTCCTCTTCTGCCAGTCTTACACGATCCTCCTCTGCTAGGCGAGCCTCTTCCTCTTCTATAATTTTCCTCTCCTCTGCAAGCTTCTTCTCCTCTTCCAGGCGTTTCAGTCGAGCCTCTTCCGCTAAACGCGTCTCTTCCTCCTTTCTTAGCCTGGTAATGGTTAAGAAACAGCAGAGCAAATTGCTCAAAACCATACTGACAAATAAACACAGGTGATATCTCAAAGTAGATATGTACATTTTAACAGTATGTGTTCTTTTAGTCTCAATGTCTAAAAATTAGCTCATTAGCTAAAAATGTTCATCTTACTTTTAATGTCCACAAAATATAATCTGCAGTGTTTTACTGGCTAATCTTATTATTCCTATGCATGTCTATACTGTATGGATTCTTTGGTTTTACTTAATAACAACTACAATTCCCATGAAAACAATTTTACTGTAATTACAATATGTGATGCATCGCTGCCATATGTACAATGATGACAAAATGGTAAAAGACAATTAATACTTAATTAATAATAATATTTGTGAGATAAGAATAAGACCATTTCCAATCAGCTTACTTCTCCTCTTCCTCCCTCTGTATCCTGAGCTGCTCCTCTTTCTCCTTCTGCTCTCGCATCAGTCTGCGGTTCTCCGCCAGGATCTTGGCCGCCTCAGCGGCTGAGTTGGTGCCCGTCGAGGCTTTAGAGTCTGATAGGAGGGATAGACAAATATAGATAGCACTTTATGTCACATTCACAGGACAGAGATTAGCTGTGACATTAATACAGGAGCAGAATAGAGAAGAAAGCGGCCTGATACACATACAGTACATGGAGTTGGGTAATATGGTAATATATGTGTGTGTGTGTATATATGTATATATATATATGTATGTGTGTGTGTGTGCGCGCCCACACACACACACACACACACACACACACACACAATATAGATTTTGCCATTCTATTCATTTATTTATTCATTTATCATAGCAGTAATCTTTCGAAGATCTTTGAGTGTATTAAGCTATGGTAGGCAATGCGATATAAACGTATTGTGATTTCTATTGATTTTATAATCAAAGTCAGGCATTGTATTTGATAGATAAATCATAAAAAGACATTCCTCCCTGGCTATTTACCCATTAAATGCCTCTCTATTGACTTCCTAGAAAATGCAATACATCCTGATATATACTGATATCAAATTACATATACAATGACAGTGAGTCATGTGGAGTATTTTACCTTTTCATACTGTCCCAAACACAACTGTGGATATCTAAACCACCTTCAACAATTTTGTTTGTCTTTGCCTGGTTGCATATAGCATTAAATCATTACTAAGCTATTTCATCCTGCAGAGAATGAGTCTCTCCAGGAGGTGGCAGCAGCAACAATACCAGATCTGTAACAGGATGTGACTCCAGCTGGAACTTAATAGGTCTCCTGCTCCACTGAGATTTATCGCAAACTGAGCCGCTGCCACGTCAGTTTAAAGCATGCATAGATGCACGGTCTGCCTATTAAAACAGAAGATAATACTCTATTATCTTCAAGCTACTCCTTAAAGGAGTATTAAAGCATGATTACAGTTTCCTTTTCTGCTTAAAGTCAAGAGAGTGGGAGTTCAAAAGGGAACAAGGAGCACTGCACTACTCTGGTTTCCTTGCAAGTGGCTAAGTTAGCTAACATTACAAAAAATAATGTTGAAAATAAAATAAAAACAATATTATGTGTTTTCTGCATTTTTAATTCTGCACAAATCCTTGTAAGATTTATTTTGGATCCAATAGCTCCTGTCATTTTATTTACCTTAGTTCAGTTTCTATAATGTTCAGTGTAAATGGAACAGGTGTCTGGATAATGGACATGTCTAGTATGATTAAAAGACAACTTTGGGTAGGAAGAATCTTGCAACAGATTAAGGGGCACTCGACTGTTCATTCAATAATTATGTGCCTCAGTAAATTGCCAAAGAGAACAAAGAAATGACTTCAGTCTTATTGGGAGGAAAGGAGGTTTGGACCTGCATGGATAAGAACATGAGTGATATACATTTAGTTAAGATGAAAAAGATTTCATTTTGTCCTGCTGGGTTCACTTCACTGCCTGAAATTGACAGCATGTCTTGATGCACCAGTGCAAACATCCTGGTTGCCGGAATAACGATCTGTCTTGGCAAATATTAGTACTGACTAATTAAAACCTGTCAGCTGACCATGGCTGTTGCATTTGCCTTTTATATGGCACTACATTACACGTTTTGTACTAATATGAAACACCTTCTACAGTGAAACACAGATCGATTTTTATGTCTATCTATCTATATATATATATATAGAAGTATAATGAAACATTTATATTGTGAATTGCATTCTAATCACTGAGAATTTCTCACCATCTTTGTCTTTGGTCTTGCTGGAATCAGAGGACTGTGGAGACATAGCCTGGACAGGACACAGATCCTTGGACTTGGAGTCCCTCTTTCGTAAGGTGGGGGGCCCTGTTGGAGTGAGCGCTGGTTTCTGGATAGGTGGAGGTTTGGCTGACATAGGTTGGGGGGAAGGGGGACGCTGTTTCATTGAACCAGGTGAGGGTGGGCGTGTTTTGGAATTTTGCCTGTAAGAAGAAATTGTTGTTGAAATTGTGTCTGTTTTATAATGAAATCAAAACGAAAGGCTGCATTCAAACAGGCATTGTAGTCTTACTTCGCTGCTCCTGGGGAAGGGGTCCTCTTTGGGGATGGATTGGGGGCCGGGGATGGTGAACGGTTGCGTCCCAGGTTTGTAGATGGGGAGGCGGGACGTTGCCCTTGAGGTGATGTTAACTGCTTGTCCTTCTTAAGTACCAAAGAGACAGGACAGAATCAGAATCAGACATACTTTAATAATCCCAGGGGGAAATTACTTTCGTTACATACTCCATAAGTAATATATATATATATATATATATATATATATATGTAGATTATAGTTTAAAGTCACACTTTCAAATATGCAAAAATGGCAAGTGTAAAGTGGTCGCAGGCTTCCTCTTCACCAGAAGCACATAGCAGGAAGTAATTCAGGACTATCCCTAATGTTGATCTTTGGACCCCCAAAAGGGTCTGGTTCCCTATGTTGGGAACCACTGGTCTATGGATCATGGTCTTTGCACTTGGACAGAATCCACAAAATGCATGGAAATGTGGATGCTTATTATAATAGAGTAACTGTAATGAAAACTGAAAATGTATCTCCTTCTTAAGTTTTCCTCTGCCTCTTTCAATTTCTCTGGCAAACAGTGACACAATGCTGGTGTGAAGGAGGCCATGGGTTAGGTTTTAATTCATCTATTTTTAATGCCCGTGTTCTATGTTTGGCACTGTAAATATGATGACAGAGGGCACAGCAAGGTCAATCATGTGACACTATATACACTACTGTCCCAGCTCAAACCTGAATGCCAAAGTAATTTAGAGTGCCCTGCTCTCTAATAAATGTGTATTATCTTAGCTGACACAGCTCAACAATCATTCTCTTGGCAGGGTGGGAAGAAAAAGCAAGACAGTAAACACAATTGGTGTTTCATAACAGGCACAAAACATTAATTTCCTATTTATGTCAATATAACACTGGAGCAAGAACAGTATATAGACACAGCGTCTTTGTATGAACGAAAGGGTCCAGAAGTGATCTCAAAGAAACACATAGCAGTCACAATCATTTACTGTACTTCACTATGACAACCCTCATAATGTCCTATAACGTTCTTTTAAAATGTCCCTTATAATCATTTCTTCAAAGAAATATACCCCTCAGCAGGCGGCCTAACTCAGCTGATTCTAAAGACACAAATTAACTGAGGAGTAACACAATGCCTGAGTGATAGGCTTTGGATTTTAATTACCTCCACACTAATCTGTGCATGTGGAGACAAGGAGACAATAAAATGGTGAGGAAAAGTCTTTTGACATTTGGCCCCAGGGTCAGGGTGGGGTCTGCTTTGCATGGCCTGATCTGTCCATAATCAGGCCACTATGGATTCCTTTGTCTCATTCTATGACAATGAGGCCCTTCACAGCCACAGAGGAGGCTGAGGACATGCAGGTTAGGAGAAACAACAAGGCACCATGGGCCATCAAGTGAGAAATCATTCACTTAAAGACATCACTTATAAGAGTAAGTAAGTAGGATAACATTTTTGCAACATATGAACATGTTCATATTCTGAGTGACCAGCCAAAGAACAGCTGGAGGAACATTTCCCTATGGTTAGCATCCTGCAGCAGTACTTTGACAGGCAAATGTAGCCGGATACGTGCACATAAAGCACAGTCTTTGGTGCCATGCACTTATTTCTCTGAGCTAAGTCATTTCAGTATAGGGGAGCATGCATTTGTTGTCACTTCTTAAGGTACATGTGTGCCTTCAACTTCATGCTGGTTTCTAAGCCCCAACTGGAAAAGGCATCCCTCTCTTCTAGTGCTACCAACAATTAAATCATGTTTTTATAGTCTCTCCATATTTACCAGATCACATTCAATGACTTTCCCATTGAAATAAAAGCAGAACACTGCTGGCAATTAAAAAGGCTTAACAAACAAACACAGCAATGTGTTATTTTCCACTGTGCTGTGTAATATTCTATAACAATTGTTTATAGTTATAAAACATTTTCTGATAATATACAGTATCTAACTTATTTCTAGAACCATACAGTCATACTGCCTCATAACAGAGTTCTCACAGCCATACGCATGTATTGACTTAAATGTCTCTGTTATCACTGTAGTTTAAATTTGAATAAGACTACAGATACTATCTCAAGCCCTGCATCCAGGTTACTCTATCAATAAATGCAAATGACAAAATAGTTCAACCTTAACAAATCAATTAATCAAATTCTCAAATTGAGACATAAAAAACACACGTCAAACAGGGTTTTCCATACAACATTACTACTTGGGCATTCAAATAATGCAAAAGTATGAGTGACTGAACTCCGCACGGTACAAGCAAACAGACCTCCGGGAAACAATATCAGTCTGTCTACCTCAAGCATTATCATTTTACAGTATACTCGCAGAGCCATATAAAACCTACTTATTCAATGAGGATACAAAAAGGATGAGGGGACAAGGAGGACAACCTGCAAATCTATTTGCAGTGAAAGCTTTCACTTCAGCTGATCTTTAACAGCATTATACAACATTTCTGGCAGTAAATGTCTGATTCAAACTGTTTTCTTTGTAGGCCGGTAGTGTTAGTAACATGAACGTCAAGAGTTGTTCTCACCAGTGAAGTGTCGAGGGCTCCGTCGGCTGACACAGAAGTGGTCATGCCGCTCTTCTGTCGGTCAATGCTGCGGCTGCGCACAGGTCCACGCGGTGGGTGCAGGGGACTGGCGGAGGCTGAGCGAGGACACAGGTGACACTCTGGTAAAGGACACAGTCATCGTAGAGCCAGGGGAGCACAACCAAAGGGAGGCGTGATAAGCGGTCGAGTAGGGCAGCAAAGCAGCAAAGAGCAAATGGACGGAAGAATAAAGAGTCGAAGGGAAGAGAGAGGGATGTGGGAAAGAGAGAAAGAGGAAAAGAGAGAGAGGGAAGGGTGTTTTTGTTTTTGTAGGGGGACAAGAGCACAAAAACAAGCGATTTGTTAGATATAGCACTGTAGGGCAGGCAACAGCTTGATTTTTGAAGCTTTGATTGGGCTGGAGATTACTGGAGACATGGGTAGCAGAGAGCAACAATCGAACCAAAACCCCGGACACTCCCCGAATGCAATAGCCTCTCAGCACAACATTAACCAACCTCAACACCAAGCATCATAGCACAGCACACACACACAAAAACAACCTACCACCAACACAGTACAACAAACACAGACACGGCACACAGATATTACACAAATTTATTAGTACACAAATCACACAGTGAATGTTGATACTGTTTGTTGTTTTCGGTAAGAGTAACTAGTCATTTGCAGTCTTTGAGTCCTTCCTGTCATCATACTGTAACTCAGATCAGATCAGACTCTGAATGCAACATTTGCTGTGTTTCAGGGACAAAGCCGACTGTAGTGTCTCAGTTGTATGTAAACATCTATAATGTTGATGCTGAGCTGCTAAATAACTATAAACCTGGAAAGACAGTGGGTGAACAGCCCTATCCCTAGCACTGAGTTTAAGTGTAGCCTGTAGTTAGTAAGGAAAGTAAATACTGTTGTCCACTAGCTATGAGCTTGCTGTGTCAGATTGAGGGATTAGCCACGATAATCCAGAGAATTGGAGAACTCTCCCTGCCACAGCCTGGTCACAAACGTGTTTTGTACTTCATTCTGACTGCATACTGAGCAGCAGTACAGTATGGTGACTATGAAATGTACCCAGTCATGAGCTGTCACTGCTGCTGCTAATGCGAATGTGTCATGTTTCTACTGGGGCTATACTTAGCAGAAGATCTATAGCCGCTAATGGGTTTGTAATGGCCGGTCAATAAACACCACAACCTAAAACCAACATGAGGAATACAGTTGCCACTTTTAAGTGATTCAGTGCTTTCTGGTTCTTTCTATCTTTAAAAAACAGACAAGAAAAATACTGCATTCATCACTGCATCAGGAGATTAATTACTGGGTGTCTAATGTAAGATATGCAAGTTATCCAGTGAGACAAAAAGCCTCAACTAGATGGCTTCAAGGTATATTTTACTAGAAGTCAAGTCAAGTGCCAAATCTAGTTCCAGAAAGCAGATGTAAAGCAGATTTACTGAATTTTATAAGCGTGACTTCAAATATTCTTTGAAAATGCCAGTAATTACCTTTAACAGCCCGTACTGGAGTCCCTAGCACTCTGACCACACTACCAGGACACATGCAATAGCACAACAGTCTGATTCTGACGTAACAAGAACCAACAGGTAAGCAGCTTAGAGTAAATCTCCAGGCATGGACTCCTCAGATGCAGAGAAATGGTCCCAGCTAAGTCTGCCCTGCTCAGCTCAGCACACAACAGCCAATTGTGTCAAATTTGAGAGTGCATGTGAGCTGGATCCGTGTGTGTATCACTATTGACAGAGTCACTATGCTCTCTCACATGAGTGTACTTTGCTGTAAATAACTACTGTACATACATAAAACAGATGATCGTTACAATAGCGGCTTTTAAACGCGGGGAGCTGTGCCATGACTTCAGTAATTCCACCACAACCAAGAGGCCACTATTCACTTTGAAAAGGATTGTTTCAAAAGCACGAGTCTGCAGCAGGGTTCTAGGATGAGCGTAGATCTAGTGAAGTGACACTGGGAGCAACTGGAATGACTTTCTACTGATAAAAAATGAGGCTACGTGGGGAGGACCAGGGTCTGATTCTAGCAATCCTTCCTCTCTGTCAGGGTCTCCTAAGCGGAGGTTACCTGGAGCATCTGTTCCTTCAGCTGACAGGGCGGCGGCGCTCTTGCTCCTAGCTAGTGAGGCCTGGGTGGGGGTGAGCAGGCGACTAAGGACCCCTCCATCCACAGTGCTGGCCGGTGGCCTGCGAGCTACACGTAAAAAAAAAAAAAAAAATCACCCCCCAAAAAAAGAGGAGAACAAAAAGGCCAAGAAGGAAAGAGTGGATGAGAATGGGGATGAAGGTAAAACAAAGAAGGGAGTAGAGAGGGGTCAATTAAGTTTAGAAAGGTCACCATGTGATTTAACCAACAGGAAAGGATCAACATAAACAACCAAAGGTTAAGTCCCAATAATCTTACATGGTCTCCTTATCAACTGTCTTTATCTTGTTAACTTTCAGTGACATTCAACAAAATAAGGATAGTCAGTAAAAGACAGTAAGGAAAGGATGCCATGGAAGAGTGCTGAGATAGACCAAAGACTGATTGTCTGGTAACTGAAGATCAGTTAATCAGGTCAAATCAATGGCTCCTTGAGGCAGAGGGAAGTGTGCTGAATGGGAAAAAAACGAACCATTAGTGAGACAACAGAGGAATACTATTGGGTAGAAAGATGAGAAGTGAAAGAAACCAAAGTGATAGGGCAAGTGACTGCGACCTGGAAAGAGTTCTTTAGCTTCTGCTGCGCAAACTTTTCTGTGCTTTAGATTAAGAAGGTGCCAAATTTGATTAAAATAAGGTCAGTACTGAACAAGTGTATTGTTCTGTATAGCGTGTTGTGAAAGCACTGCAGTAGACCTTGATTTCACAGCAGAAACAAAGAGCTCCTGCTTCAATGAAATGGAAGAATGAACAATTCCCCATTTATGCTATTGTGGCTACCTAAGCCAGGAAGTAGAAATAATACCAGAAGAGTTAAAGTGTTGACGGATTGATTTTGCCACATGTCCCTAAATGCTAGCTCTTCAAAAAGGAGAGTACAGAGTCACACTATCCTTTGGTGCCCCTTACTGAGAAGACATCTGTTGCAGACAGACTTGTTTTTTGTTAGCTGTTGAGTGCTAGCTCCTGGAGCATGGCAGCATGGCTCACTGCTCGACACCCAGATATTAAGAATGTGGGTTATTAGTCTGAGATATGGTTATAGTTATGCAAAGAATGGTCTACCGGAGTTTTGGGGTAAAGATGGTAGCTGTGTTGTATTATTGCCTAGGGGAACCATACAGAACAAACATGTATACAAAACAGGAACATTTTTACAACAACTCATGGTGGAAGAGGCTGACATGTCTAAAAGGACAAACAGAAGCATTAGTAGTTAATGGCAATACACAGACTGCAGTGAGTTACTGTGGTCATTTCTGTGCTTTGGGAGTGCTATGGTGGGATGGCACTGACACACACCACACTGAAGCAAAAGCCCAGTGATTTAAATCCAGCTATGACATCATCTGAGAGGGAGAAAACAATCAACACTTTGTGACAACAAAACAATACACTGTGTTAGTGCAGACACGGCACACAGAAAAACCATTCCTGGGTTGACACTTAAAAAGAAAACAATTGAAAAAAGGTTAAAACAAGATCAGCTGAAAGTACAGGATCTGGTAGGTTAAGACAGCAGAAAGGTTAAGTCATACATGGAACGAGCACAGTGTTCCCAGTTAATCACAGACGAACAGTGTAGAGAAGCTTAGCAGCTGCCTAGGGGTAAATTCAGCAGTCAGTAAGCATGATTTAATCGAAAGAGAACATGGACAGAAAGAAGGGATACGTGGAAAGAAGAGTTGGCCAGTCGAAAGTGTTTTGTTTGTCTGTTGTTTTTTTTTAAAGGAGCAAATTCAGAATGAGCAAGCTGTTAACATCATAGCAACATGCTTGTTATTCCAAAAGAGAGACCTGAGCGATGCAGATATGGGCATGAAAAAAAAAATATTTCTGATTGTTCATGCTAGCCACCTTGATCATCCGTTGTCCCCTTATCAGGCTTGGAAGGGGTCTGTGCTCTGCCCACACTTACTCGTGTAAGGGAAGAACTTCTCTTCTTCATGGAACGGCCTACGAACATGAAAGTGGAATTATAGCCAAGCAGGCACTGGGAGAGAGTCAACAAGGAATCCCCAAAGACAGTTTACATGTCATGTGAACTCAATTTGGCCTTATGTGAGTCACCAGGCTGCAGCAGACAGCAGCTGATGTTCATGTTTAATAGATGATACTCACAGTGGAGGGTTGCTCAATGTGATCATACTACCTGATGCCCCCTAATTCAGACTATTACAACATTAATACTACAACAGTCAACCTGTTGTTAATAGCTTAAATGTTTAAATTATTAGCATGTACAAAATCAGCTTTCTATGTGGTTGTCATAGCTGTGACCATCTGAATATCTTTTCTGTAACCTGTGCTGTTGTTGGCAAATTGTATACTGTACACCATCTTTGTTATGAAAGCATAGTGTGGGATGGAGAGGGGATCTTTTGCACCTGTCTGTTCCACCTGAAGCTTTTTGCCGTCTTCCTTACTGGCCTGAGCAGCATTGTCGTTGCTAGGCAACCGGTTACAAGATGAACTCCTTGGCTTAACCCCTGAGAGACAATGATGAAACACCCAATGATGAATTTACACAGTGCTCGCTTATGAATGGTACAAAGTCTTTCAGACTTTTCTTTTAAGAATATATTCACAGGCCTGGGAATGGAACAAGTATACATATTAAACAAGTTGAGAGGTATAGAGAAATCAGCACTATCACAAAGAAGAAATGACACTGGCAGCCCATAGAAGCTGTGGAGAGATCTGAATCAACTGATTGCGTTGATTATTTTTTCTGAAGAAATCAAATACACTTCTTGTGAATCAAAATACGCTTAGGAATATAATGTCAGGCTTCTATACCACTACGAGGACATGAGTACATTTATTAACAAATCACAATGTGGTGCTTGAGACCCCTTCTGATTCTGAAAACTTGATTCAGTACTTCAAAGAGGTGCATAGTGAATGGATACAGCAGAATTGGGAGGCCATGCTAACTTATCATTAGCTGGAACCAGAGACAGAGAGCTTAAGCAGTTTTTACCGGTCTGTGCTCCAGTGAGCCTGTGTGTAAAACCCTGCATGTGAAGAGCACAGGGGTCAGAGTTCACTCTAGGCTTAAGAGTTGGAAGAGAAAGTCGGTTTGTTCTAGATAAGCAACAACTTGTCACCTGGTAAATCTCAATACATTCAGCATAACTGAAAAATGTTTACCTGGCTGATAATAGACCGTCTGGAACGTACTACGTTTGTTAACACACAGCACAGGAATGCAGGGAGGGTAGAAGGAAGGGAGGGAGGGAGGGAGGGAGGGAGGGCGACAAGGATCAAATTAGGATGGGAAGAAAAGAGGAAGGAGGGAAGGAAGACGGGAGACTTACTTTTGTCAGGAGATTTGATGAGGGTGGCAGAGGAGGAGGATAGGCGTTTGCTGATGCCAGCCTCAGACGGCTGCTTCAGGTTCATGGTGGATGTGGAACGCTTGTCCACTAAAGAGGGAGGAGGAAAGACAGACAAGGGAGGCGGGGATTACACTGGAGGTTGGCCAGTGGGGAAGGGCATTTGGGTGCACACAAGGGATTACAAGGTTCTGCAAGATCTTAATATCCCTGATATGCAATGGGTGATATGTTGCTACATTAATATGCCTAATACAAATACATAAAAACGATATAAACCGATATAATATCCCCCATTAACCCACTGATCTAATGTGCTACTAATGCTGTGCAGATTTAGTAAAACACATGATATATGGTATGATTTGCCAGTAAATATCATGTTTAACATGACAATATACACTTTTAACAAACCATAACAAAGTTGTTGTGTTTTTAGAGCCAGACATGGTGGTTAGTAGACAACAGATGCTTATGTTTGACCACTCGAAAGAGAAGAGCATCAACATTACATGGTCGTGCCAGAGAATCCAGAGGTGATATTAGTCCTAATGTTTGTGTTGTGCTTCCATGCAAAGTTACCCATGTGACCTGGAAGTGCTCGACAGTGTGGGTGAGTGAAAAACCTAAAGCTGCACTTCCAGCTATTCACCCAGCAAAAGGCACATTCAGAATACAGGACCCATACAACAAACGATTAGTGAAAAATTGCCAGTTAGACTGCAGGTGAGAGTTGGTGGGTGGGGATAGGGTGCGGTGGGGTTATCGGTAGGAGGGGTAGTAGGTAACCAAGCTATTTGGAGTGCCAGTGCCAGTCCATGCTATGTTACATTGGTGAGCAAATGATCAACAAACAAAACCTTGTCGACTCCTTGGTGGCTTTTCTGGCGAGGCAGGGGAGATAAGTATTGTTACTGGAGATGAGGCGCTGGCATCAGAATCTCCTGTGGGAAAAGACAGCTCTCAGAGAGGAGCAATAAAATACAAGATGCTGAGGGACATCCTTCATAAAAGGGAGAGAGTAGGTGAAATCTGGCTGGTGGCCATCAGTTTTTTCTTGACACCCTGTGCCTAAAACAATAAATACTAGCCTCAGTATGGACAATTTTGCCACCAAAATGACAGAGTGGGTATCCTGAAAATATAAACAAAATGTATTTTAAACGACCCATTCATTTCTTTTAGTTAAAAACACTTGAACTTTTTGCAGATTTCTGTACAGCACAGTGTGGTTTATCGTCTGAGTGTCAAACAGTAGGAGTGACACTAGAATTGAGTCAATAAAGTGTTGAGAAAGAGTGTGAGCGTGACGGACTACAGTTAGAATTAAATGTAATTCTTCTGATATAAGTAAGTCAATTAGATTATATGACTTTGCTTTACTGCATGACAAAGTAATCCCATTATATTTTCAGCTTTAACTAAATTAGATAGATGAATGATCTCCACTTTCAAAGTCTTGTTGACAAACTTCAAAAATTATGTTATTCATTAACGCTCGACCCAAATGGCCATGTCATTAAAGCTACCTCTGGGCATGAGAGTGACTTCTCCTGTCTAGCTCCCAAAGTTATAGCAGCTAGATATCGAAGCTGTAAAATACTGTCACCTCTCTGAATTTCTGAATAAGTAGTAGTACTCTGCCTTTCTCTAAATAACCAGTGTCATTTGTATCAAAACCAGCCAACTCATCTGGCATTGTCATCAGCTGCTGGCAAAAGAAAAAATGCTTTTGTGTAACTCGTGGTTGAATTTCCCCTCAATTCTGTTGAAACAGAATCACATTGTGAACTTGACCACTTTCACATGTTGTGTTGAAGAAGTGAGGTGCTTTTGGTGTATCCCAACTGGCTCTTTAATGCACCATGACAAGTGAATGATGAAAGTCAAATGGAACAGAAAAGCAGAAAGGAGAGCGTGAAGAAAGGGCCTCTACCTGTTCGTCCATCAGAATCTGTGGACAGTCCTCCCCAGGACCATCTTTTCTGCCTCTGCTCCACTCGCTGACTGCGCTCCAATGTCCGCCGCATCACTGCCTCGTAGTGCTCCTGTGGAATAATGGGGCAGAGGGAGAGAAAAATGCAAGTCATTTACAGCAAAACAACATCTGTCCCTTAATCAGAGCGGACAAGACATGACGATGCCATAACTACACAGCAACATAGTTATCTTCTTTTTGTTAAATATGAAAGTAGGATGATAATTATTTTAGTTACAAGAGTCACATCCACTGAGCAACAATGAGCACTGCTCTGAGCCTCTCAAGACTCCACCCATGCCTCATCTACCTTTTCCTCTTCCTGTTTCTGCTTCCTCTTCTCCTCCACAGCCAATCTTTTCTGCTCCTCCTTTCTTCGCTGCTCCTCAACCTTTTTCTGACGCTCCTCCACCTGGCGCTCCACTTGCAGCTTGGCCTTGCGCTCCCGCTCCATAATCTGAGACTCTCGCAAAGCTGAGAGCACAAACAGTTCATGTGAATCCATGGAAGGGGATTGTGTGCAGGAAGAAAAGTCAATAAGTGTCTCTAAGGACCAGGACTCTTAAAAAATATCCATTTAAAAGGCGCAGCTGGATTTCAACCATATTTATAAACAATTGAACAATTATCAATGATGATTTCAATGTTTCTTTCAGTGAAAATGTTATTTGTGATGCAAAAACTAAAAAAATAAAATAATTTCCATGTCAAACATAATGGCAATATGATGTTTTACCGTATCGTGCAGTCCTAATTATGTTTGGTAAGTTGGTTCTGGCCGTGGCTAAAATAACTTACTAACACAAGACACTGGCATCGCCCTCTTACCCTGTTGTTTGTCTGCCTCTTCTCGCCTCTCTTTTGCCACTCGCAGTCGGTCGTCTATTCTAAGTGCAGCACCGTCAATGACTGCAAACACATGCATGTGCATATGTGTTTAAAAAGGTAAAACATGTGCAGCCATGCATATTAAAAGAACAAAATGGTGGATTACAATGCAGCATATTGTTACAAAGGCTTTGCGTCAGGTAGACAGATGTGTGCATGTGACTGTCATTAATGAGCTTTGTTAACTGTTACAGTAATAAGATGATGACTAAGATTTACCTGCAGTAAGCTACACTGAGTGGGTGGTTGAAGTGGATTGTGTTGCATCTAATGGTTCAGATTATGGATGACAATAGAGCGGTGACAGGGCAGAGTCTGTGAGAACTGATCTGTTTCTGTGTCAAGGTGTGGTGTCATTTACCTGGCTTACACCCCTGAGGTTTAGCTGGTGGGTTGGTTGTAGGTCCGGGACTGTTCCCTGCCAGGCTGCGCCGCTCCTCGGCTTGTGCCTGTGCAGCTGCAGCTGTATGTAGGAAAACACACACCACGCGCACAGAACTTGTCACATCATGTCATGTCTGACAAAGCAGGTAAATCACATAATATCAGAACAGAATTTCTTTGGGTACTCCAAACCAACCAAGTTTAAAGCAGATGTTTTTTTTCTCTGTGCTTTGTTTTCTCTCCATGGGAATGCTAGTTCTAGAGAGATCCAACGGATTTGAAGCTACAGAACAATCCAGCTATTCAGCCATCTGACATAACCCCCCGCTCATGGTCAACCCTGTAGCCAGCCATACACTGCTTTCTGTGACAAGCTCAGAGACGTGGCTGGATGGAATCAAACCCATGTGAGCTTCCTGGTATACAGCTAATACGCCTGTTGGTGCAACATAAAAAAAAAAGAAAAAGAAAGAAATTCCCCTAACATAAAAATTGAATACAAAAAAATTCCACATACATAGTCGGCTTTGCACTGGTTTATCCATCTTGGGAAAAAAATTAACAAGTTATCCTGCGCTTCGAGCAAACGGTTTTGTTTTATAATTTCTGCTGCATAGGATTTCTATCACTACAGAGAGAAAGTGTCAGTGTCCATGAACACTATTTTGTTTTAACACACATGGACTAAGCAATTCCAGATAGAAAACAGGGGTTACAAACATGCTTTTAAGGTTGCAAATACATCAACTCTTCCACCAGGACCACCACAGGGTCAATATCACTTTCTTCAGCCTGAACTATTCACAGCAAAATCATGGTTAGGAGATACAGGGGCAGGAAGGAAGGAAACAGTGAGGACATGATCAAGCTTTATGAGCCCTAGTATCAGCCTTTTCTCCGGTCTCTTTCCTTCTGTGTCGGTGTGTATTCAGCATTACAGAACTGCTGACAAAGACGCAAAACGATGGTCAGTCATGTGAAATTCACATTCTAATGAACACATCGAACTGTTTCTGCCACTGCTTCTTACCAGTTTTAGCCAATTTATGATTCTACAAATCCCATGTACTTTACATCATCATCAACTAATGTTTTGTGGTAATAAAGTAAAATGCATTAAGATGACGCATAATTATTCAGAAAGGTCTCACATCTGAGTTTTGAGAGTGGGCTGCCATGCATTAACATGCCTTATTCATCGTGTGTTTTACCTTAATCAATAAGAGCAATGACTGCCTGCAAGGTAGCCTACTATCTATAAAAAAATATGGCAGGCTTTGGGAAAGTATTAGCCATAAGTAGTAGTAATTGACCTAGAACAGGCAAAAACACCAGTGACTTCTTCGATCTACTGAATCAATTAGATGTGGACAACAAACATTAGGTCACTGATGTGGAAAACATAAATATAGATTAGATTTGCTCGTCAACATGAAAAAACCCACCGATCTGTTTGATGTAGTGTCGTAGAAAAGCCAAACCAATGTTGACCAAATACTTAGAGCATCTTCAGAGGGGAGACAAGATAAGAAATTGGCTTAGTATAGCATACTTGTGACATGGTGTGCCAAGTCATGATCATATCCCTCCAAGCGGGGGATAACCACACTCACAATATTGTGGCCATCTCTGTCTACACATAATGAGATCTGCTTTGTTGCACTTGTGCGGGTAACTAGAGCTTAATTTTTAAAAGGTCTTGTATGTTCAGTTCTTGGTACCTGAGAGACTACTGTGTAACAAAGCCTCTGCTAGTCCAGTAGTTTTGTTCTACTTTCCTACAGTCCTGTTTGTTCTTTCCAGCATTGTTCTTTGCCATTGGTAGCATCTGAAATAGGGGTGGGTATATGTAATTTTGTTTGGGAATATCAGTATATATCATGATACAGCTCTGATGGTATACAAATCAATGTTTGACTGGAATATTGTCATATCTCCCACCCTGAATCGTAAAAGTAATTAAGAAGCTGCTAATGCAATTGCTTTCTGCTACTTCCTATCAAACACTTTCCACCAGTGAATTGTGAAAAGTGCGGCTTTATATGCCACTAAGGTAAGATATAGACATTTGTCTTCAAAAGGAAGAGTCACAATACATTGGAATGGTAGGAATGAAGGCACTTTGATAATCAAAGTGTCCACCACAAGCACTGATCATGGTTTCTCAGAGTACACAACACCATGCATGACCTATCTAGAAGATTTAATAATAGATCATGAGAAAGTTAAATTGAAATACAAATGTGTTAAGAGTCAACTCAAATTATACTATTTTTAAAAAGCAGAGGATGCTTTCTACTTTTGACTCTGTGCAACGTCCTACATAACTAAAGACATGGTGGCTGCAGGTGAGGACTTTGAAATTGAGGATGCATCATCGCGTGAAGCAGTTTTTTGGCTTCCCATAGTCAGAAAATAAAAAAGGGAAGAAGATAATAGACAAGGCAAGAGATATGAGGCCGTTTTTTGTAGTGTTATATTTTCAGTTTCTCTTTTAATAAAGAAAAGGAAATATGCATTGTTTTTTACAGTTTATACCCCAATACCCTACCTCAAAAAGTCATAATTTGTAGTCTCAAAAAAAGGTGAGGAAATCATATTATGAATCCAGTATTGTGAATTGTATCAAATTGGGAGTTGTTTTTACCTCTATATCCTAGTCATATCTCTAGGGAAACTGACTTTACACTCTACTACCTTACTGTCTGGAAATCAGAAGAGTGATATTGAGTGATAACATTTGTTCACCCAGAAGACTATCCAATATGCTCTGTTTGCACCCCTGAACCAAAGGAAGATTCATGAATGCAGACAAGAAGAAATAAGAAACGTAAAAGGGTATCTGGATAGACATTTCAAGACCGACTACGTAGCTCTCAGAGAGATTTAGACAAAACTATTCTCTTGAAGTGTCTGCAATAAATCAGATATGAGTTTTAGCTATCAGTGAGAGCTGACAGGGTCGGGAGACATGCACTGATTATCTATATTCTGCAGCAGCATCGATGCTCTACAGTCAAAGAAGCTTAAGAGGGTCAAAGTCTGTGGCTAATACCCAGTGGAAATGTACAGGTTACTTCAACGTGGGCTCCAACTTCAACCCCACGGTTGTAGGCTAAACGGTGGGTAATTGATGGATGATGTGACTGCACTTTTAACAGGAATCATACTATACCACAAAGAATACACTGACCTCAAAGAAAACAAGCAACTTGGGGGGGGCAGAGTTTACATGAAGATAGAAACAGGCAGCAGCGATCAAGCTGGTGTGCGTGCAAAGTGACTAGGCACAGAGGTGTGTGTGTGTGTGGGGAAAAGGAAAGACAAGATGAGTAACAATACTAAAATAAGGTGGAGAATTAGGTAGAATTAAAATGGTAAAATATTTCTTCTATTTTAAGTATTTGTTTTCTGAATAATAAACATGGTTCAGATGCCTAATCCTACCAGTTGTTTAATTCTAAGAATGAATCACATTTACTAATCAACCTTCACTATAGGCCTACACCTCATTTTCATTCCTATTTGGAGCTAATAAACACATCTGCTTTTTTATCACTTTTTCTCTGTTAAGACAAGTTCCCTTACATTGCGAACAGAGTGGAGAAAAGTGGAATCATGCCTTTTTATTCTTATAATCTCGTGCAATAAATATATTTTATGTCACATCACCTACTCCTACCACACTGTCACATGCTGCGCCACCCACCACTACAAGTACATTCTCAACTTGGAAACACTGTTCTGTATTCATTAAGCATGCTATGGTGTGCATATCAGCAGCATATCACACTGCATGTTCAGCAGACAGTATAGGTTAGCATATGAATTTTTGGAAAACTGCTATTGCCTTACCTTCTGTCAACAACACATTCTCTTTTACTCAAGAGAATAGACAGGAAAAACAGACGTGGCACTGTGGGCTACAGGAGCTGATCTATATTCAGAAGAAAAAGCTATCTAATTCTAGGATATAAAGGACTCACACCCAAAGTAAAAACACACTTATCTCTCTAAAAAAAATGCTAAGCTATTGAAGCTATTGAATTATGGCTTAGACATCAATTGTGCAGAACATGTAACTGATACGTCCTGGCTTTAAATCTCTCTTATCTCACTCTTTTACCCAACCTTCACTGTTCATATAAAAGGCCATGCACCCTGTGCAACAGGGTAACTGTTGCTAAGTGATACACTGCAGCTAGGGATGGATGAAGAGGTTCTCAACCATGTTTAGGCCTGTATGAACAAAGACATTGACTCTGAAATCAGGTGATTCATAGCTAAATAAAGAGAACAGAGCGGTGAAGCTTTAAATGATTACTCATCAGACCAAATGTAAACTTACACGAAACAATTACTTTACATTTGGGCTGTACAATATACAGTAGATCTATTAACAGTAACACCTTGTGAATCAAAGGATGCTGATACAGCCACCCATAATCAATAGATTAAAGGGTAAAATATATGAAGGGGCTGTTCAAACAGTATTAACAATGTAGAGGAGAAGCCAAATATTAAGTTGTGATATTATGACCTTGTTCCATGACATGGCAGGCTTTAGACTTCAAGCTAACTGCATGCTCTGGTCTTAAGAGGGAAGTAAAAGCAGACAGGAAAGCAAAGGGGCTGAGTAGGTAACAGCTGTTATGCTGAAACTCTACTCTTTTTTTTTTCAACGCAAGATTACTTGTGCATAAAATAATCTGCTGTAATGTCCAGTTTAATAGACCTTTCTGCCTCAAACACTGATGCTGTAAAGACTTTACTGAACTGCTGGGTGCCACAACGTCAGTGGTCGCCAGTGCTCTCCACTGACACACACATTCAAATGTTGAGTGAATGAGATGTAGCACGAAATTCTGTTTTCCCAACAAACCTCAAGAGAGCCAGGTGTGCTCATAGAAATGAAAAGAGCCAATCAGAGGAGCCATCTCTCATCACTATGGAGATTTGCACACATTAACATACATCAATGCTGCTGCATCGACAGACTCAGCTTAATGCTCCAATAGGTTGGAGGAACAAAACCACTAGCAATTAACTACTTACACACCAGACTCGTCGATTGGCATTATCTGAGCTAGATAACTGACTGTTCATGTAAGTGTAGGTAGAAGTGTTGGGCAAAGATTTAGAGTGAAAAGATCCAGTCTGCAGTGGGTGGATCATTCCATTTCCACTCAATCATGAAGCCATCAAGTAGTTTAATGTGATGTATTTCAGTATGTGATTAATTCAGTTGGGATAATATTTATACAGCTATTGTGATACTGATTACAGCATCATGCAGCAGTTTTAGGTAGTAAGAGATGCTCAAAAAAGGGAAAATATTCACATACAAATACATATTGATTGGATGTGGTCTAACCTTCCGGATTCTGAGTTATTATGGCTGCAGTAAAAATCACCAGGGGGGCTCGCGATGACCCTGCTCTGCAGCCCAGACAAAAACACCAAACAGGAAATGGGCCAGTCTGAATTACATTGTAACACTTGTAGTCGAATGCTAACACGGACCAAATGCTAGTTCTCTAAATTACAAGAAAGATCTTTAGACTAAGGATAGCTTTAGACAATGTTGGTTTAGTAAGGAAGCAAGAGTGGGTTAGGAATCTTTTCTGTCCCTCCTCCCCAACTGCAGCCTCAACTGTGTCCTGCAGCATGGTGCAATTAAGTAGCTTGTTGCACAGGAAGTGTCTGCAGTGCTTAATGAAAGAGTGGACAACCATTTGCTAGTGAGAACCTAAAAGAACATAGGGATTTTTAACTCCAGCCAAACAATGTAATTCAATGACCAAAACAACTTGAACCGGCAATTAGTTCCTTTTTTTATTTTGTTAATTTTGTCCAGTTAAATGACCTTGTGTAAAATTAAATTACTGTGTAGTACTTGGCTGCCATATAAACATCAACATTCTTGGCCTTCTATGGCCGACAGCTTCCCATCCGCTGGCTCAAGATTTCAGGTCCTCAGATAACACTGCTGATGCACGCTCACACACGTGCACACACATGCACGCACATACACACCAGATCTTCTATGGGATTACTCGAGACCTGTTCATGCAAGGTAAGCCATGGCTATTTCCAGTACTGGCAGGATAATGATGACACATCCCAGTTTCCTAGGGAGTCTCCCCTTCCAGGTGGACCACAGTTTCCTGTGGAAATATACGCTGAAAGGTTGTGATCATATCCAAATCCATGATCAATTATCAATCCAATTCTTTTACTTACAGTGCAGATTTTTGTGTGGTATGGTAGCTTTACTGCATAATCTCTTTTGAGAACAAATATGCAGACAACAGAGTCAACAGATGTCTCAAATATATCAATACTAAAATAACAAGAACTGTCAAAGTTGACAATAAATTAGTAAAAGTATTCTGGAATTACTAGTAACATGCAGAGAGGCAAATTGTAATTGGACTTTATTAGACTATTATTACTACTACTGACACTGTGCCACATAAACAATTTGCATCCCAGTGTTTGACTTTGTCTAGACCTGGCCAATTTGGAAGAGGTTCTAAATGGGAATTTATCCTCGAAACATCCCAAATCTCCATGCAAAGCTGGCAGGGGACTTATATGCAGCTGTGTTCCATGCAAGTATCTTCTTATGGGAAATGGAAGAAAAACAATCCAAAAAGACATTGGAAATAATTATGATATATGAAAATGCTGCCTCGTGAACAAAACTACTCTGAAGATGGATTGACCTTAGTTATAGCCTATACAAATTAACATGTTTTGTTATTCAAATCGTTGGTGCATCTACGTGCATGCAAACACTTTCTGTGATACATCAGTTCATTTAAAAAGGTTAAAATAAAACAGGGAAGGGTACTGTGCTAGAATAGCAAAGCTAAGTGGACTATACACTAAAAACTGAGGCTAGTCCATTTCCTCCTCTGGTTAAATCCAACCAGCTCAGAAATATTTCTCATGCTTTTAATTCTGCAGAAGCAATTGCTGAGCCAGGATCAGGATAACCTTGCAGTAGTGTGATCTCCCTTCATAATAGCAGGGTACATTTTCTCCTTGCTCACATTCTTGTGGAAATGCACATGAGCTAGATTCCTAACATTATTTTGTTATTGTCAGTCTTCTGCTCTGACCCGGAGGAGGCCAAGGAAACTGACATCCTCTTATTCCTCACAAAGCCAGGAATCCAACATTTTCACATCACTCCAAACTTTGTGGACATTTTCATAAAACCACAGAATTGGGTGGATGCAAATTCCAGATAGAAAATACTGAATGGAAAAGTTAAGGGAAACAGGAAGAAGACCTGAACTAAATATGGTCCAGTTGTTGCCAGGAGTAAAACATGCCTACACCCACACTGGGTATGCAGAAAACTCCCTCTTACCCTAAAACACTAGAAAATCTGTCAGCACAACTGCGGCTCAAGTCATAACAAACTGTGCATTCATGCCTGCAGATGCAGACACAGTAAACATCCATGTCTAAGTCGGGAAGGGACCGGCTGAGGCATGGATGAGGAGCATTGATAGAGGATTTTGACGCTGCAGTTGGCCTACAAAGTACTATTTAGAGAAATGAAAATGTGCCTTTTGTTTAACAGAAATGTGTGTGACACAGGGCTGCTGGCCCAACCAAAAACTCTTCTATCACTTCATCAAGAAGAGCAACCATGCAGCCTTATTCTCTTATCAGAGTTCAGTGTCTGTCTGCGTCTGACACTCCAGCTTTATCTGATATTCAGGTCAGACATTGTTATAGTTGCCCTCCGTGGAGAATGGAGGGGGTTATGCCATATGTCAACACAGACCAAAGGATATAGGAGGAGAAAAAAGGGAGCACTTTGTACAATTATGAGCAGGAAGCTAGAACATTTACTGGGAACCGGCTGATATGTGGCTAGTAAAAAACCAAACAACTTGTCTATTAGCTTTTCTACTGTTGGCATCAACCCTGACTGCTGTCAACCTCAATACAAAAGGCAAAGCAGATGATCACTTTTGACAATAATCCCCCAAGTGATGAGCAACGTTATCTAATCTACCGACAAATGTCAGTTACAAAGCAGTTAGTTAGCACCGTTTACCGAGTATTTAGAGTCGGTGTAATTAGTGTAACACACAGCAGCACTTTGTTAAACAATGTGATGAAATGCGGTGAAGCAAGGCTAAAGCAAAGCTAAGGTGAGCTGAGCGCCAGGCGAGCAGAGCTAGCGTAAAGTCGTGATATGTCAACCGGCTCTCTGGCAACAACTTCAACTAGCTAACGTTAACTACAACTACTTCACTTCCAGTAAAGTTAAACCAGCTCGTTTAGGCTTTTAATTCAGCAACATAGCCACCGGCTACGGCGGGTAAATTCAACACCACTTGTAACGTTTAATGCGGGAAGAAGTTGCTGATTTTCCGCATCCATTGTCAGCAGATAACCGGACAGCGAGCTAACACTACTAGCCCGAAGAGCTGGCCGCGTTTACAACACGTTGAAATAACCCGGCTGGTGGCGGCAGTTGCCAGCAAACATTACAAAGTGATTACTACATTGTCAGACACAACTGGGTCAGGAAATAAACACGGCTGCCAAGATTTTTCTTACCCATTTGGGCTCGCAAGCCTTTGAGAGTCGTTGTACCCTCCGCCATTTCTATGAAGTTTTCCTTCTCTGTTTTTTTTTTTTTTTTTTTTTCTAAAGCTGGGGCGCGTAACACATCGCAGCCGGTAGGACTCGGACACCGCGGGGACGTGGACATCAGAGAGTGCGTGAGACGGAGAGAGGCCTCACTCTGATCTGTTTCCGGAAACCGACAAAAACGTCGCAAAGCGCGGATGTACAAAGCGTTCAAAATGCTGCTGTGTGACCCGAAGATATTTATATTCAAAACTGATGTCATACAATTCAGACACATACTAAACAGTGTGTTACTGCGCAATCATTTTCAACTTGTTAAAGAAACGATTTGACGTTTTTAAAGTTTAGTTAACACATGCGTTGCTGCATATATTATTTATGAACAGTAAGAACTTCAAACATGGCGTTCGACAACTCTTCCAGGTCAATTTCCAAGAACTGGACTGCGAAAGAGAGGTTGCTTCATTTTGCACATTATTTCTGTTTTTCTGAGACTTTTAATCATGGACGAAAAGTTGAGCAAGCTGCAAGGTGTTGCATTATTTGTCACCAGTAATGGTTCATCTGTTTAATTGACGATCTAAGAAGGTGCCCTTAAAATACTAGACACATTCACTATGACACCCAAGCGCGCCCCCCAGCGTTTATGTGGTGGGTCCTGCATGCTATTAAATTGAAAGTTAATCCACAAGAGATACTGACAACACCAGCAGTTAAATGTCGGAGTCAATTAACAAAACAGGCAAGATACTTTCATGAAACAAGTAGGTTCAGTTACACACATAGAGCACTTTCATGACATAGAATATATTTTCAGAGAGTTTTTGGAGAATGTGGAAGATAAGTCTTAAACAAGACAGTATATTTACTGAAGTCTTATTAATTTGCCTTTGAGGTGGCTTTGTAAAATATTGATGGGGAAAAAAAGCAAATCTTACCAGATTTAGTGTGCTGAAGAATCTGCAGAGGTCGAGATCGAGTAAAATTGTCAGTAGGCAAACTTCTCCCAGTGAGAGAATAACATATTTTCTCAGGGCTCTATGTTCTTTCTCTTGCCATGAACACTGCATCCTCTGTCCTGGTCCATCTCACATGCTTTAGCCTGAGGGCCTCTCATCTATTTTACATGGTAAACAGGAAGTAACACCGCATGTAGGGTTCAGTTGCAATGGCCTGGATATTGTGTTATTTAACACTCAAAGCACAAATAATGACTTCTTCTCAATGTTTAACCTAATCAATCACGTGATATCTATTATAATAAGGAATGTATCCATATACAATGTATATATATATATACATTGTATATAACACAATTAGGTGAACAACATTTCTTTAGTCACAGGTATTACTTTTATTCACTCAAAATCAATGAATTTCAGTAAGGAGAATGTCTTTATATCCCAAAGAGTTGTGTGAGTGTTGGGGGATGTATTTGGTAAAAGTGTCATCATACAAAGTGGGTCAGGAATACTGTATAACAGCTGGAGTCATGGCAACGCATCCCCAGGGTCTGAGTGGTCACTTGTTCACCACAGCTCTGTGTATCCTAGCAACAACTTCAGGATTAGGCAAGAGTGAAGCAGCCTGGGCCAGTTGGGGCAGCAGTGTGTAGGTGGAGGTGCGCAGGTACTGAAAGAGATCCTGGAAGCCATGGAGATGAGATATGACCCGAGGCGGGACACCCAAAGACCGCCCCAGTCTCCTCAAAACGTCCCTGTTGTCAGCAGAGTCAAGCAGCAGGGACAAGTCCTGGACTGAGTCATAGTCGAGCATCTCGATACTCTGACCTGGAGTAAAAGCACAATCACCAATATGAACTTTAGAAATGAGTTCCAACAACTAAACTCATCCACAGATTGATTAACCTGCTGGGGGTATGTTATGTAAAACCCTTTACTTACTTTGGCTACGGGAAAACATACATACCTTGAGCCACTTCCCATATTGTCTGAAGTTTTTGCTCCATCTGATATTCCTATAGAAAAGAAGACAGATTTAGAAACAAGTAGTACTGATTCTAACATCATTCTTACAGGAGGAATGAAAATAAATGACACGATTTATCAAGTAAAATACTTTAAAAAGTATTTTTGAGTTAGAGCCTCTGAAATGGGAAGATACTGTATGCTTGATTGTCTTTCTTTGATATAATTTTATTCTGTCTGTCATATCTTCAGAATCAGTGGATCTCAAAATATGCAGCTGAAAATCAATAGTTAACTGATCGGTACTGATCAATATGTTAGAGTCAACGTCTTGTGTTTGATTCACTTGTCTTACTCTTGAGCATTATATGACAACCCTCTCACAAAACTATGAGCTAAGATGTTCAGGATTTCTGGTGTGGGTACATATTGTAACACTGTCAGTTTAAAGAGGAAATGGCCTTCATGAAAACTACTGACAGTGAGGTCTGTGGATTATCTGAGACAACACTTTTGGAAAGGAACACTGCTGTTGAGTTTTGAGCAGATGTCATTTTCCATGCTTTGTTCACCACAAATTAATTTCCATTCAACCCTTGTACTGGGGTGATGGCCGACGTTTCGGTGGTGAAAATCTCCAAACCAACAAAACCACCAAATTCCACAGTGGGTAACTGGCATTTTTATTATTATTTGTTTATCTTTAATGTATCTATTTATTTGTGATTATGGGTGAGCACAGTTCTTGTTGGTCTGTGTGCTGACAAACTGGCTACATTTACTTAAACCAGTAGTAGAATATTATACTGTTATAATTAAAAGTAGTACTGTTGGAATTGTATAGAAACCATAAATTCACAGTTTTCAAAGTAAAATTATCTTGCAGTGAGTTTTCATGTGTATTTTATTGTGTATTATATTGAAAGCAGCATGTATGTCTTTCACTGACTCTGGCAGTATGCCAATATGATGAATTAAACCACTGTACCTCCTCCATGGAATAGCAGCTGCTTTGCAGTTCCTCCTGTGTGATGTTCTCCTCTTTCTGACTGGAGGGCTTAATGTTGGTGGTGACATTAATCACAATAGAAGTAGGATGCACCTCATTCTCATGGCTCAGTGAGTTTAGGACTCTGGGTAGAGATGATATTAATGTTAATAATTACATAGGCACAGATACATTTAATGTGTATTTAAGCAGTATGTAACATTTGCAAAGCACCTCAGGGGATCTTGAGTTGTCTGTGAAGGAGCCGCTGATTGTGTGGCTGCTCTCTCTGTGGAACTGGACAACGATGTGTACTGAAGGTTGTCTGCAGACAATGGTCCTCCAGGCCCAGGACAGTGCTCAGGAACTTGCTCTGAACATTGCAACAAGTATTTAGTCAAGTAAACAAAAGACAGATGGGCAGAAATGTCAATTAATGATGTGTCTTACTCACTGAATCTCTCAGCAGTAAGAAGGAAAGCCCAAAGCAGCAGAGCAATAAGGAAAATCGAGGAAGCTGTTGCTGAACCAATCAGGACCATTGAAAATGTTTCTTCGTTTACTCCTGGATTAAACAGAAAGTCAGGCAAGTCAAATCGAATGCAAGTTGAATTGAAAAAGTTGTTCCACAGAGTTACTCACTCTTCTCTTTGGGGTCTTCGAATTTTCCTCTGGGTGCAGCGACGGCGCTCTCTGTCAGACAGAAATAAACTTTTCCTTGACAACATCTCTGGAAAATCACCAGTCAATAAAACTGTTTATACAAGCTAATTACCATTGTTCAGTCTATGGTTTATCTCTGGATCTTACCTCCTTTGGAGCCTTGAGCTGTCAAAAGCAAACACTCTTTATGGACTGTGTCATGGTTGTAACAAGGCACACAGGGCAGCTCCACTTCCCCAGTCATGCTCCTGAGTTCATAATACCTGCACACACAACCACATTCATACACTTAACACAAAAACAAACGCTAGAATGAATCAGGTGATTAGGCCGGCACAGTAGGTATAACTCACCCCGGAAGGCATTGACCACACTGGGCATTATTGGCAGGTGAGCACACTGTCGTCTCCAGGCGGTTAAGCAGATTGCACTGGGTGCATCGCATGCAGGGAGCTACACCTGTATCTGCACTGAACTTCCCTTCTTCACACAGTATACAGACACCTTCACCACCATCTCCAAAACCACAGTCCTGAGAATGATGCAAAATATAAACTAAAGCCAAGTAGCAAGGCCAGTAAAGGAAATAACTCTTCTGCCACTATAATGTCAATCATGTGTGTTACCTCTGAGAGCTGTTCTCCCGGCCCACATACAGTGCATTCAACACAAGTGCCATTAGGGTGGAAGAACTCTGTCTGATCACAGCTGGGCTCAGATTTCACCAGCTCACACCAAACCTTAGGAAAAACATATTTTAAATAGTCAGTGGTGGAACTAATACCACACTATTAAAATACTACATTCCAAGTAAAATTCATGCCATCAGAATCTTATTAAAGTAAAAGTACAAAGATACTATCAGCAAAATGTACATATATACAGAGGGGGAAAAAGCACACACATTCGTTACTCAAGTAGAAGTACAGATACTTGTATAAAAAAGAGTCCAGTAAAAGTAAAGCCTTGATTCAACTTCTTTACGCAAGTAAAAGGGAAAAAGTACAGGCCCTGAAATGTACTCAAAGTATAAATGTAAAAAGTACTCTTTTGGTCTCTCCGAAGGACATTTCTGCCAGCTGTTTTTGTGCAAATCTAACTGAAACCTTAAATAGGGTCAATGTTACATCTTTTTCGTCATGTTATTTCTGTAATGTATGATATTCACTGGTCTTGATGTTGGAAAGACATGCAATGATGCAAAGAATGAAAATATTATTTGATAATTCCCCTCAAGTGCAATAAAACAAAAGTTTTGAAAATGCAAAGAGTAGAAGGTACAGATATTTGTGTTAAAATGGAGTAAGTAAGTAAAAGGCTGTCCGTAAAATAAATTCTGAAGTACAAGTAGAATAAAGTAGTAGAGTAAGTAAAGTACAGAAACAAAGTATTTGTACTTTGTTTCTTCCCACATCTGTATATTTATGGGTTTTTTAAAAAGTCAGTGTCTTAGAACAAGTGGGAAAAAGGTGTCATTGCAGTAGGGATGTTATTGTTTTGTTTAAGTGTAAGGCAGTTTCCTGAACTTGAAATATGCCATAGAAAGTACTTGAATACAATTTCATACACACTGAAAACATGTTTCAAATATTCTTGAATCACTGGCAGATTTGCATTTATTTTATTTTAAAGAAAATATAATAAAACAACCAGATTTTATTTTTTGAAAACAATCATTGTCTGGAAATAATATGCATGATGAAATAGTCAGTGTTTCAGAAATCTGTACAGAAAAGATGCTTAAAGGTCAGACCTACCATGAGCTGAACAGCATAGAGACAAACCTCCATTGGCAAAATGTCCATGGTCCTTCTCTAAGGAGTAGAGATACACTTCACTGCAGCCCTAAAAATAGTAAGTTTTCCTGTGAACACAAATTTAAAATCGAACAACACTTACTCTGTCAAACTTTAATCACATACTGTAAAGACAGTTACACATATAAAGACCATTGATGCCAAGAAAGCAAAGAAAACCAGAGAAAATCAATATAAACTTACTTGGCAATATTTAAATGCTCCTTATAATGCTATAAAAGCAGTGTATATCTCTCATAGACTAATCACTCATTTGCAGCTTCCATCGGTGGCAGTGTGATTTTGCCTCCCTACAAGCTACTCCTCATTCAACAGAGGTAAAGTGGTGGGAAAGATCTTTGGGAATCCCCCTCATTCTACATCACCTGTGACGCAGGAGAGGTTCCCAACCAGACTATCAATCGGTGGACCAATGAATGCGAGACTTTCAGGTCTCCCACACCTGGCCCACGTCACGTCACACCTGGTCTTCTCACATTCCCTCTGGGGAACCCGCTCGTCTTGGCTCTGGCTCCTCATACAGGGAGCAGAGGAGGAGGGAGGGGAATTTAAATGCATGAATGAGACCCTTGTCAAAGAATGTGATTCCAACAAAGAGACTTTGTGTGTGAGTGTGTTTGCAGGCTGGAATAACATCTTAAATACTACAACCAGTATTGTTTTGTTATAGGTCCTGACTCAACTGACGAGGGGCATGCTGAAGGTGAGACCACTGTGGGAATCATAAAAGAGCTCCTAAACTGAGCTGGACAGAAACCAGTTGTAATGTACTGTTTGACCACTTAGTGGTAGTATGGAGCCATAAAACAGACACACAACATTTCACCATCCTGACAGAATGTTATGGGTATGGAAAAAGAGGATCCATTTATATAATTTGATTATTTAAGTAGTTAAGGCTTTAAAAAGAATACTGCACTATGGACTTTAAGGTCTGTACAGCTGAGATCAAGACAGACATGGCCTTCATACGTCACACAGAAAAGCCAATTAGATTTGTTTGAGCAGTTATCACTTGAGGATAATTGTAAAGCACACAAGTAGTACAGGAATATTACATATACAGGAGTGTTTGCAGAAAATTTCCGATGGCGGCAACCTGACGTATAGAACACACGTGTCTAACATACACACAAACCTGTTGTTGCAGTCATACCCATGAGCATATGTAACCTAAACATTCTTTTTGGTCATAGCCAGCATTTGTAGATGCGACTGCAACCTATGCAGATGATGTTTTATGTTTATATCTCAAACAATTACTTTTTTCCTTTTTTTCTTTTAGCTTCCATGACCATGAATGTCAATTTATGTTGCAATTCTCAGAAATATCCATCTGTGTACAGACAGTTTAAGTGAGGACGCTTACATAACAAACCCTAAATAGGAAACCTGCTATTTTGATAATGTCTGTGTCATCAACATCTACAAAGACATGGGTGTGTCTCAACATCCTGCAGTCTTTCTTTACAGTAAACTTTAAGGCTCCATGAAATACACATTACCATTCAAACTCCCACCGAGCTGCTGGAACTCTAACACTAAAGCCAGGTGCTTCATACTGAACACAAAGGACTTAAATGTGTTAGTGGGAGAATTTTGAGATTCACTTTTGCAAAGGTTTCATGAAGTCATGGGTTTGATGTTATCATGCATGTTAGTTATGTTTATTGCCTGTGATTAATGAGTAACTCAGGGAACTAAAGGGAGAGGGCGTGGAGGTCTTCTTATAGCGAAAATAGAGTGACGCTTGCCAGCAGACTCACTGCTCCACCAGCTTCTAGTGAGCTGATATTGATGGCCTAATTTCTCACAAAACAGCTTAAACTTCAGATTTGACCATTTCAAGAAGATGACCATGGTAAGTGTCAGTTTTGTATTTAGACACATAGAATTAAGTGAATAATCAATGTATTATTTTTTCAAGGTGAATTCACATAAAAAAATTGTTTATCTTACTGTCGCCTTTAAGCAGATGAACACTTGACTGGCATTGAAGGTCCTGTGTTTTTGTTTGCTGTCATGAAGTCCGTCAGAAGTCTGTCTTCACTAACCATCTATCTGTGTATACAGCTGTCAGTGTGTCTTCTCGATTCAAGTAAGATTTCAGATAAATTAAATGATTTTATATCCCACGTGAAGTATCTACTGACTAGCACTTAAATTGTCTTGTTTTTTTATTGTGTTTATGTTTAGTTTTTTCCCCTATTTTGGACAATTGAGTTCTCAAGTGAACTGAAAGAAACTCAGAATAATGAATTGTTTTGATGGCATACTGTTCATTCTTTTCACATCTTTATGGTTAATAAACTGTATAGCTTATTTTTTTCATCTACCTGTGTCTTTTCTGCCTATGTGTTGTTTCAGCTGCCTCTGACAGCACCAGCTTGTGGGGAAAGAAGATACTGTTCAGGGGTCGCCCGTGTTTGTGGCGGCTACATCCAAATGCTGTGATACCAACCCTTAAAGAGCTGAGTGTATGTGAGCTTCTACGCCTCAACTATGGAACCGACTGGACTGGTTTTGTCTACAAAGCACTGGGGGAAAGACACATAGCACTGGGATTTGGGGGCAAAAGTACACATCTGGCTGTATGGCTGTTTGGTGAAGAACATCGCTTGGAATGGAAACTGAGTTTGAATGAATGGCACTCTGTCTGTCTCACCTGGTCGGGCCAAGCACGGAGGCTGCGGATCTACATAAATGGAACCAGCCAGCATGAGTTCTTTGTAAAACCCATCCTGCCCCAGCAACTGGCCCCAAGCGGCACTCTCACTCTGGGGGTGTCTCATTATGTAGACGCATCTGGTAAAGTGCAGTCGGAGAGTGGGAAAAATCTGCTTGGTGAGATTGGTCTGTTCAGGATCTGGGCCAGAGAATGGAGCGCTGAGGAGCTGAGGGAGCAAAGCTGTGCAGATGGAGACGTGGTGAGCTGGGACATGAAGCAGTGGCAATGCAACTGCCCTCCCCCTGAGCCTGACAACAACCTACATTGTGGTAAATACAGTATGACCTTTCAAAAAATTAATTACTCTCAAAGTTTCCTCACCTTTTCACATAATAAGGCAATCTGCTGTAGGTGAGAGTTCAATGAGTGGGCTTTACTGTTCAGTAAATATGGTTTAAGGTCAAAGAAAAGGTAAATCACACATCCCTAAGTCCAGAACCTGTTGATAGGTATAACATTTTCCTTTGGAAATAGTACATATTATAAAGTCATTTTCTTTGCTTATTTATTTTTTAGCATGGCCGCTCTACAAAATCAAAATGAAGACATTAATAGTTCACTCCATGAGGCCTGAAAATTGTACACTGTCGCTGGAGGAAGTCACAAGAAACTGGGTATGAAGAATATGTGAATAAGTCAATGGACAGTAAACTGTCATACAGTTTTTTCCTATCAAAATAATCTTTGTTTATCTTTGTTGTCATTTCTTATCAGTTGGAGAGTGTTTTTCCTCTCAACATTTCTGTCCATGAAATCTTTGTGTCAACCCCAAGGTAATACAACTTTTGTTAGCAGACCCTCTCTACTATTCAGATACTATACTTAGTAAAAGTAAAAGTCTTGCTCTGGCAATATAAAAGTACTCAGTGAGTAAAAGTAAATGTCTTCTTAGTAAAACTTGTCCCTGTGAGTGTTATGCTATTATACATTATATTGGTTGAGGTGGAGATATTTTATATACTGTTGGATAATTTAATCTATAATGGTTCATTATATTTTATATATGTAAAGTAACAAAAGTACATGTGGACTGTGATCCTGGTCATGTATAACGTTCCTGTCTGTAATTTCTGTTATCTGTGTTCCCATACAGCCGTACCTGCCATGTGGTTAATAATTCTGCTGCTCTACATGTGCAACAACCTCAGGTACACCACTATTAGTCCTCTGTTTGATTTTCCAGAAAGAAGCAGCAATATCCTCAAAGACCAGCTGATTAGAGAACAGAGATTTTAGACTAAGACAATATTGTTTTCCGAGGAAATCAATAATGTGCTTGAGCACTGAGGTCAGGCACGGTGTAAGTAAGTGAAATCATACAACCTTTAAATAAAAATGTGATTTTGATGTGTTTTCAGGGATCAACAGCATTATCAAACACCACCTGTGACAACTGGTAAGACGAACTTAGGACTCATAATAAACTTTATGACACAAGATGCATGGAACAACCCAGATATTCTCCAAACCTCAGTACAATGCACTTTACATGCAGATATAACTCTTGTCATTGTGATTAATCCCCAGTTTCGACTGTGAAGTCTATGTAAGCGTGGTTCCTGCTGCTAATGTAGAAGTTGTTCAAGGGAACATTGCTGCGTTGCTGAGTTTGACCTTCTCTTACGACTTCCTCAACCTGACAGCAAATAGCATCAGCATACTACCTGTGGGTACGTATATTCTGTACAATACACATTTTACAACCACTGTTACAGTCTTAAAAACGGATGTATGTTCACATGACGTGTGTGTCACATGAAGCTGACCTTTTTCATCGGGAGTTTATTTACATACATAATTGTATGATATTTGTTCAGTTCTTGTATTTCATAGACACAACGCAGACTCTTCACTCGTTCACTTGAGGCATTAACATGAACAAATGCATTAAAGTGATTATATTTACTGCACTTTCACTGCGATTGTTAAGTGGCTGAATTAAAAGCATGCTGCGGATACACTAATGAAAACGGGGAGGAGCACATTTCTGTGTTTCTTAAAATACCTAATAGATGACTGTAAATTTGTGACTATTCATTGTAAGAAAATTGACATTTCCATTATTTGATTTGACATCATGCTATTTTTAATTGAAAATTTTCTTTCTCTCTTTGTAATAAATGTTTCACTTTCTTTCTTTCAGAGTCATTCCCTGCAGTGTCCGAGCCCCCTTCAACAGGCAGCACTGATGTAACTACATCTGGTGAGCATGCAAGAAAGAATGTCCATGAGTAGTACTGGTGCTTTGCAGCCACATGGAATCATAAGCCTTTGGCAAACTGGTTCATCTATAATGATATAACAACTTCATTTTTTAAAACTTTGTCTCTTTGTGCTATTTTCCTGTAAATTGTGTCATTTAATCCACAGAAACTGGTCCAACTCAAAGTCTGCCAGTTCAGCCTGCTAACATGTCAACAACAGGAGAGCCTTTAGAACTCAACGAGACTGCCGGTCAGTTCACTAAAAATCTTAGATAAATCATTGTTTCTGTTTGTTTCTTCATCTTCGTTCTTGTTTCTTCTTCATATCAGCTCAGTTCTTTGTTGTCCTACAAGAGAAAACAATTTGCTTGAAGGCAGCAAACATAAAAACATTAGCAATAAAAACACAGTAAGGCAGTTGTAGACATGGTACACACGAAACAGCTGTGTACTGTACTGTTTCCTTTTTATGCTTCATACTTCTGCCTCCAAATTTGGTGATTTAGATTTAAAATCTGTCTGATAAACTAAAGTATTAATTGTTCCTTCATGGGTTGAGAAAATTCAGTCACATTGCCATTGTTGCC